GATTGTAGAAGGCTTACTGTAAAATTTTCAATTGTCCCGAATTGTTCGAAGAAGTTACTTTCTTTGTGCGACTGTGCGAAATGAATTGGCACGAAACAAAAAGGAAACTCGAATTTTTCGCTGGGTAGACAGGAGTAGAATTGATATTCGATTTATAAATTTATATCATTGGATATTTCCAGACTTTACACGTGAAGCATGTAGTAACCATTGGGAGAAATTGCTCAATGAAAATTGTTGATGAAACCGAGGGAACGATTAGCGTGGAGATTAAAAATAGAAAATCAATTTATAAGCGTGAATGAAATGGAATATTCGAGGGATGCGCACACTTTTCGCACAGTTACCACTAATCAATCGAATTCGCAAAGCATTTCCTTCTTTTTCATAATCGACGCGTTTAAAACTAAACTATAGCACCCTCATTCGAGTCTTCGTTAAATCGAATTTTAAGGCTATCGCTTAAAAATTCTAGAGAGCCGGCGGCGGGTTCACTATATTTAATCACCTTAAAATTTTGCTCGCGCAAACGGATTACAAATCGCATAAATCAACGAGCTTCTCATTGAATTACGTTTAATACGCTATAAGACTGTAACAGTTTATAGTACTCTACAATTACAACATGTGATATCTCTTACAAGGTACTTACATTACAAATAACCCCACAAATTCGTTCATTACTCTCGGTATTTAATCTGACGACGAACTCTTGCAGAACAAAACGAGCATACCGATTTTCTTCGAAACGACTTATAGATTGGACAATCGGATACCTTTTATGCGAATAACGAATAAAGTCTCCTCACCCACGTGTCGCAGTATCTTTGTAAAAAGGAAATACACTTCCTACCATCGAGTCTATCGATCAGAAAATCTTAAGCGATACGACTAAACAATCAACTGTATCAGAATTTCCGTATAAAAACCAAAAGGAAATATAAAACGTCCTTATCGTATTTATATCGATATAAAAGTAATCTCTCACAATGTCAATCCGTGACTGTTCTTAACTACTTTCTCCGCGGGACAAGAGACACACGTATAGCGTATAAACTTCTCGATCAACATCATTTCTCTTTTCTTCCCTCTTTTCCCCCGGTTTTTAAACCGTTCGATATTTGGATACACAGGAATAAATACGTGAACGTAATAGATGCGAATAAATCGTACACTTACAATAAAAAACGCAGCATAAAAGCGAAATCGTTGTGAAATAGGAGGAAGCAACTGTTTTCTTTTTACCGATTTCTCGTATAAAATCATAAATCGTTTGTCAACGTTATTAAAAGTACGTACAAAACTGTCGATGGAACAAGTCGTTCGCACTGTGTTACGCGTGTGTGTGTGGACATCGTTTCCCGTTCAATGAAATATTTTGTCATGCAAAATCGTCCATACAAATAGGTAGACATTTGTAATGAATCCCGATAGTATATTATGAGATAAGCACTCTCTCTCTCTCTCTCTCTTTTTTTCTCTCTTTCTCTCTCTCTCTCTTTCTCTCGCTGTGTTAAAATCGATGTTGAGTATTATGAGAAAGTCATGTGCAAATTGGCGAATCGTTTCGGTATCGTAGCAGCCACTGTCGTTTTCTAACTATTGGTGCTTAGAGTTCAAAGTACTAGACTGACGGGTTCTCGCATCCTTTAATATCTCGTAGCATAACATCTACGAGTCCTTGAAACAACGATAGACATACAACGTGACGTCACATTTGACAATTGCGTTTATCAGTATCCTTAGACCAACTCGATCCCTCATCGTTCAAAAGTTACATTTGTTTCCTTGCGTCTCAACCTATTAACCGGGAAAGACGAGTTAACTCGTCGCTCGTATTTGACGTAATCTTTCACCGACTTCTCGTTCCCCTTTACCTATTCATCCGACCGTTCGTCTTATCGTAACAATAACAGTAGTATAAACTACACTGTATACATCGTGGCAAAATGTTTGTTGTTTACCGTCAAAGGATTACCCGGTTAACAGGTTTAAAGTTTTTGATTCTCCGGTAATTTAATAGTCTCCCCCAAATCCAATACCGCATTTTTTCGTGTTTGTTTCTCTTGAACTCTCTGTTACACAATAGAAATTATGTAATGCGTTGTACGAGTGCAATCGCGATCGATGGTATAGCAGCTATTGTGCACGGTTCTGTAATGTTTCATGATGCTTCTGGGGTTTCACTGTTTATCTTCTATGCGCGAGCGGTCGGTCAGTCCGCCGTTTAGATACTGCGTCAAGCATTTTTCGCTATAAGAGCGTCGATCAGTCTAAGTTTCGCTTTGGCCTGTTTGTACGATTCGTAAACGGTGGTGACTTGAGGGCCTCGATCTTCTCTCTGCATCCTGCGCCCGGCGCGAGCTTCGAATTGCGCTTCCAGTTCCTTCAAAGCTCTACGAAGACGTTTCTTCTCCTCTCTGGTCAGTTTTTGTTGGACCAACAGTTCCTCTCTGAAATCAAACCAAACCGGTTTACCGGGGGCGAACGAATAATAAACAATCTCTCGCGCGCGAACAGAAACTCACTGTGGAAGCGCGTGAAGGCTTTCGTTATTGCTACGGCTCCCCTCGCTACTGCTGTGCTGGCTATCGCTATCCGTTGGTAATTGATCTACCGAATCTATGCAGTCTAAAATGCCTCTGTGCGACATGTCCGGCTCGCTGGCTCTTCTCTCCGTGTCCGACTGGCTGCCCGGTTGATTCGACGACGTAAAATCCATTGCCTCGTGCTCCAAGATGGTCGCCAATTCCGAAATACTGTCTTTGTTTTTGTTCTACGGGGAAATCAATCGTTCGGGACAAGTTAATCGGCAATTCTGAGTATTAAAGTCAGGGATCAAGATATGCTTACCACTCCAGCTCGAATCAACAATCTCTTCAAGGTTCTATATCTATCGTATAAGGGTCGCACAACGGTTCGATCTTCTTTGGAGGCAGGTCTCCCGAACGTGTTCTCTATGTGAAGCAAAGCCTTTTGCACCGCGGTCTTCTCGTCTATCAATTGCTCGTACGTAAGCTCCTCCATGTTGTCAGGTCTATTGTACTTCACCCTCTTCTCGCTAAGCTTCTTCTCGACCTCCTTCACCATCTCCTCCATGGACGTAGCCCTGGACTTCTCCTGACTGTTGTTGTTGTTGGTCGGACTGCCGCAGATGGATTTCGTTCTGTTGTTCGCGTTCGCCAGTAACGCGCTCACCGGGTCCTCCTTGAGTAGCTTGTGCTCCTTGCGCAATTTGTTCAGCTCCGTGCACAGTCTCTTTATATCCCTGTTACTCATTTTATCGGAATGGCTCGGCCGGTACCCGAAGTTCTCCTCGAACTCGTCCTCGTACTTCTTGATCTTCTTCTTCAGCCCGTTTATGTGCTTGGTCAGATGTTTCAGACCGATCTCCGCGATGTTCGGCGTGCCGGGCTGAGATTCGTTCTCCGAGTAGAACCGTCTGGGCAGTAACAGGGAATTCCTCGGTGATAGCATGGCCTCTACTCGAGCGTCACCGGCTTCTCCCTGCGAACGTGTAACCGGTAATCAGATAACGAGAATCAATGGTATATATACAGTATGTCCCAGGTATAGATAGATACCGCAGATAGACACTACCCGTCTCTTTAAGTGTATCGCCGTATATCTAGGGACGCTACCCTGTATTGGCATTCCGTGGGTAATTAATATTTACATTTTCCTCGCGCTGGAACGTCCAATTGGTTAAACTGGGATTGTTCAGGTCTTCGTGGCCAACGGTCGGCGGGCGAGCCGGCGACGGTGACCGACTCGGCCCACTGCTCAGCATCTCCAAAAAGCTCTGACCTGGCGAACCGTTGCGGCTGTTGGGCCCCGATGACACGTTGTAAATGATCTCCGGCTCGTCCTCATTCTCCTGCAAACAGAGTTTCAATCGTGATCCTGTCGGCAACGATAATCGTCGAACACTTTCCTCGAGTTTCGAGAATAATCTACCTTGCTGGAGTTCTCCGCGTCGACGATCTTATGCACTCTTCTTCTCCTGGCCTGCCTCCTCCCACGCGGCGTGATGCTTCTGCTGAAGCGCTCGCTGCTCCTCAACTTCTCCGCATCGCGCTCGAACTTCTCCGTTTCCAGAGCGGTCGTCTCGCACGGGGACGGGAACGAGGAGGTCTTCTTCGATATCGGCGAGACGTTCGTTCTCTCGTGCAGAGGGAGACCCCCGCATCTCTGCGAGAATCGATTTCAACGGAAAAATATGTTAGACTTGTTTTGCTCATCGCTGCGCGGAACCTATATTCGAATGTCCGGGGCAAGCTAACGGTCGTTTAAAATTGCTTTCTTTACGCTGATTTGAGGAAAAAACCGGCTTGGAGTGCGGCCAAACTTGTCGGAAAGCTTACCACACCATGACCCATTTCTTGTCCTAGCTGTGACAAAATGTGCATGTGTTCCTCGCTGTTGAAGTCCTCGTGACTGCTCACGCGCCTGATTGTGTCCGCGGTCTCGGCTGGACTGTCGAGGACACGCTCCTCGCTGTTGCTCCTGAAAATCGTAAGAGCATTTCAATCGTGGGACATCCACGCGGTGTGATCAACGAGTAAAGCTCTCTTCGTCATTGATCCAACCTTATCAACTTCCTCTCCTGGCAACAGGACTCACGGCGTTCTTTGCGCTTACGCGGTTTCAGCGCGCAAAGCAGGAACGAGCCGTCGGTGTCGGACTCCTTGGGCTCGTCCCTCGAGTCCTTGCAGATTTTACAGTCACTCGCAGGGATCACGCCGTTCACCGCGTTGTTATCACGGATGCTGGAACACACACAAACGAAAAACGGTTACTCGCTAGACCGGACACAGCACGCGAGTATAAGGCGTTCCGCCGATTCGTGAAATTAAAAGGAAACGTTCCCGATAATAACCGTGACACTTTTACTTTTATCCAGAGGAATCCGTTTTGCTCGAGGAAACGCAGTGTTCCCATCATTTTTATTTTTAGACAATATCATATGGAATTGGGAACTTGCATAAACTGCAGTCTAAAGAAGATTATCTCGCTGCCTGATGGTCGCGCCGTATACGTGTCACCTATATACGAGCGTTTTCCGTGGTAGTGTTGAATGCTTTCGAGCTGAGTCATCGGTCTGTCTTGTATACGTACTTCTTTCTACGGGACCGGCTCGATTCTACCCGAAATTAAGCCGCTTCCTCGCGTGCTGTTACTTTACTCGCTATTTATAGCTACCCGGCTCTAAACACCGATGGTTCCGAACCAGTTGTTTACCAATACGAGCGAAGGGAAAGCGATTGTGAACGATGTCAACGCAAAAATGTTCCCCGATTCCCGTAAACGTCGTTCATAACTGTTCATAACGTGGATAAACGTTACTCATCGCGATTATTAATCGCCGGATAGTCCAGTTTTCGCTTAAAAGTTAATATCTAGTCGCCGTACGATTTCCGCTCGGCGCAATTCGTCTCGCCGCGATCGTTTCGAGGCAGCAGTAAACGAGTTAACGATCTTTTCACTCAACGAGAACTTGCGCCGAACGATATTCAAGGTCCACAATTATTTTAACGAACGAACACCGCGCGTTCGCGTGCATTCCCACGCGACCGGGCTGCGAATGTTTATACGCTTGTCGCATACATTTAACCGGGCGAAACACAATGGGACAGGCGTTACAATGAAATTGCCTGTAAATTCGCCGTTCGCTCGGGCGGAGTGGAAAAACTCGTTAAAAGGAAGCGCGATTGAAAGTGTCGGCTTCGGGAAATTCGTGGCCGGAGAAAATTGAAAATTTCACGAATATTCTGGATTTACCGGCGTCGCCGTTCGCCGTGTAGGTGATACGCTATCCGCGCGCGCGAGGCGACCGGAAAATTCCGTTGCCGCGCCAACCGAAGACCGGTTCGATCAGAACCCATAGAAAATTAACGAGGTAAACAACGTCGATGCCGCATCACATGGTTCGGCTCTATTAATCCAATTCGCCGGCGTGGCGGCGGTCGATTACGAAACAACCGGATCGAAACTGGGCACGGTCGAAAGGTGGAGGCGCGTGTGAAGAAGCGGAATGGTCCCGAGAATGACGGGACGTGTCATGAAACGTGTTCCCGTCTGAACATTTTTGGCCGCCCGTCTTTTTCTCGAAACTCACGGACAGTTGAACTTTGAACAGTTAAAATTAACAGTTCTAAAATTTACCGGTTTCTTCTTTCACACGTTTTTCGTTCGACGACCATTACACACCGCAGGACTTGGTACACCCGTAACAAAGAAAAATCATAGGAAAATGGCAAAACGAACGAGTCTATAGAATTGAACACACCTTCATTCTCAATTCACCGGCATCGGTAAAAGACTACGAATTTCCGTGAACTTCCAACGATCGTTGTGTTGCTGTGTTTTTTTTAACCTCTCGTATTTCTTAGCTTCCTATTTTTAAATGAAAATACACGTATAAAGGTCATCGGTTCCGCGATTTCCCGGGACTTTCATTGTCCCTCGATCGCGCGAAGGACGATCGATTATTAGTTGATTTATTAACGGGCAGTACCCTCTTCATAGAAAAAAAGGAGGCGCGGGTTGAAACTGAAAGGGGTTGCGCGAAAGAAAAATATGCACGTGTAATCGTGCGTGAAACGGAACTCTTGCCGAACACGTAGCGGTCCCTTTAATGAACTCTGGCGACGGTAGGAAAAAATTGTTCGACGACGGTAGCGTACTTGGTTGAGAAAAAAGAGAGAGAGAGAGAGAGAGGAAAAGAAAAACGTTCAAGTGTTGCACCGGTGAGTCGCGACCCGAAACGGACGGCGACGGGGCAGGAAAAAGGGGGTAGACGGGATCGATCGAACGCCGTTCATGAGGGAAATGCCTTTGAGCGAGGCAGCCGTGAGGTAGGTCGCGGGTTTTGATTAAGTTACACGTTTTATCCAGCTTTCCCGGGGAGCTTTTCCTTCGCGCATCGTTGAACCCGGCGACGGGCGAATTTATTATTTAACCTATCGTCTTATAACATCGTGTCAGACTCGCGACAGAATTTGCGAACAGAAGTTGGCGGATCTAAATGCCATTGTTCAACTGCGAAGGTTGGCGCGATTAAATGTTTCTAGAAGAACGTTGAATGGGATTGATACGAACACCAGGTTCACGGAGCGCGTTCGTTTCGCGGATATTGAATTTTGAAAATATTGTTTTGCGAATGTTCACAGTGATTTCGACCGATGTAATTACGTACACGGATATTGACTCTAACTGTCCACTTTTGAACCTTTAGTTTACGAGATCTTAGTTTATAATCGCGTTCGTTTGAGTTGAGACGAGATATTTTCGTTGTTGGTTGAAATATGTATTCGTTAGGATGATTGAGGAAGCTGGGAAAATAGAGTTCGACGACATTAGAGAATGAAGGTGTAATTAGATGTTTCAGCGGTAAGATTAGAAACTACTCAATCAACTTGTTGGTAATTCGATGAAAATAGCGATGAACACGGCGCAGAGGAATTTCGTTGAGATATGTGTCCATCCAGGTTTATCCGAATGTAAATGCACACACGTGTCCGGATATTCTTGAACAGGTTAAATAAAATCGTGCCCGTGATCTCTAGCTGAAACTGGTCGGTCGACGTTTCTCTGAACGGCACAATAAACATCCGTTTCCTCGTAATCCGATGGAACAGGGCGGGATTTCGGAAAACACCTTATCGACTCGGATCCAGAAACAATGGAAGAAATTACGTCATACACCGGAACCGTTCGAAAGATGCGCGGAAGCGGCGCGGCGCGTCAGTGCCTATTGGGTTCAATTAATTCGATTAATTTTGCGCGAGGACGTCGCGGCATCGGCGACGAATCGATTTAACGGGTGTACCGTTGCTTTTCAGGCGCAGGACCAACGAAGTAACCCGTCGTTAAATCGACAATCCGTGAAATCGGATTACTTACGTCGCCGATGGGATTCGTTATTGCATAATTCGCTAAAAGGATCAACTTCGTCGGCACCGACGCGTTCGCGGGGCTCTGAAACTATCGGCGAAGCACACGTACAAAAGGAATATAGGTATCCACCTCGGAATACATCGATATTCATAAAAATTGCAATATCCAGAAGATAGAAATAATCGGCGTTGCTAGGCTCGAACAGCAAAGCCAGTTAAATATTTTAATCCAGACCGAACGCGAGCATCGAACGTATAGGTCTGCCCAACGAAATCTGATAAAATAACGAGAAACACTATACAAACAGTCATTCGTTCGTCTAATTTTTAAGGAAGATGAAACGTTCTAGAACCTTAAAATTCCTTAAACGGTGCTTTCAAAGTTTCTCCATTTCGAAACAGTTTATATTTCAGTCCCCGCTATAGTACAAGATTAGCTGAGAAACTAAGTGGTAAACTAAACAGAAGCATTTTTGTCACGGGGGAAAATTATTGGGAACGTGTACATACATCCACGACATGCGTCAATATTATGAGAATCAGCGTTAGCGTCCGCGTACCGCGTTATTCAAGATCGTTTTCTATTTGTACACGGAAACGAGATTCCGTATGCAGCAGCCCAACGCTCCAACGGGCATCGAATCCCTAATGAACCATGTCATCGATAAATATTGATTAACCATTAAATACGTTAAGGATCGGCATCTAGGCTAAGTTCAAGGATAAAGGAAATTTCCATGCCCGCCGATCCCGGCGACGATCGAAGTCTATCGATCATCGGTCTAAAACGGTCTGCCCCCGAACGTACACGCGAATTACCCAATCGCGTTAGAATTTCCTCAGTGTCGCAATCGGTACGTAGCATCGTCGCGTTTCGCAAAGCCCATCCTGGCCGATGCATTTGCCTACGTACGCGTGGCTTCTAGAAGGGAGCCGCGCTGACATTTTTCCCGGGGGCCGGTAGGGAATCGTGAGAACTCACTGTGCGGGTATCCCTTATCTCGGCAGCGGCCACTCATGTAATCACGAACACCAACTTTCTTTTCCAATGGCGGACCACCGGCGCGAAGACGAGTCTCTCGGTGATTCGATGAAACATTTATGGTCGCCTCCTCGTTGGACTAGTATTCGGAGAGAAGAACGGGGACAACCAGCGAGCGAACGAGCGAGCGAGCCAGCCGGGGGACCCGTCGACGATTCTCGACGAGGAAGAACTCGAGCCTCGTGGAAGCTTCGTCCGCTTGTTTATAAGGGACAGCGAAATACTAGAGGAAAGCGATGGTCCAGAGTTCGAGACGGTTCACAAAGAACGGAGCGGCACTGGGTCCTCGCGTAACAGATCCGGTTCGTGAACGCGGATCCTCTCAGCCGCGGCGGCGGCGGCGGCAGGGCCAAGAGCACGGTTTCGCGCGGAGACTCTTGACGTTCACGGGCGCGTGCCGTGGCCGTTTTCA